TCCATCCCAAAGTCCCTCCCCCATCCATCCCAAAGTCCCTCCCACCTCCATCCCAAAGTCCCTCCCCCATCTTCTTCCCACAGTCCCTCCCCAATCCATCCCAAAGTCCCTCTTCCATCCATCCCACAGTCCCTCCCCAATCCATCCCAAAGTCCCTCCCACCTCCATCCCAAAGTCCCTCCTCCATCCATCCCACAGTCCCTCCCTAATCCATCCCACAGTCCCTCCCCCATCCATCCCACAGTCCCTCTCCCATCCGTCCCACAGTCCCTCCCATCTTCTTCCCACAGTCCCTCCCCCATCCATCCCACAGTCCCTCCCCCATCCATCCCACAGTCCCTCCCCCATCCATCCCACAGTCCCTCCCACTAGATAATAAGTAGCATAAAGAAAATGAACATTGTAACTCATTCGGCGTCTGAGGCGGATTTCCGGAGCTCCCCCCAAGCGGCGTCACCCGCCCCGCACAATGAGGTTCATTTCTGCTTTTCTCTCCTTTTATTTCATAATAAATCGCCAAATTTCGGTCATTTTTTGTCTTCTGTGTCATCTTTCCCTCTTTCTGTATATTTTTACAGAGATAATAAATATAGAAAATTAATACGTGGTGTCTGTGCACATTGTTCATACATCAGCGAATGTGACTTGCACTGGCGTTGAATCAATCCCTGTGATTTTAAACACATGCACCAGCAGGATTCGCCAGCAGTGAATGTCAGATTGTCACAAACACGTTTTTTGTGTGCACTTCCTCCATGCAGGTTCCCCGGCCCATGCCGGTGTGTATGAGAGATCCCCCCATGGCCTCTATTTCTGTAATGCCCCAGAGCTGGGAGCAGCTGTCCCATCACTAACATTCCCAGCGCCTGGCATACCAACCCACTGACATCATGGGCAGCCAGCCAGCTTGGCTCTCCTCAGATCCCTCCGCCCAGGGACTACTTCCCGGCCCCTCTCCGCTCTATTGTCACCCAGCAGCAGCTCCCTGTGGCCGGCACAGCTGTCATTTACTATACAGGGGGCAGGAAGCTGCTCGATGCCATGCTGGGGGCTTTGTGATTGAGCTGTGACTTCCCCCCCCCCCCCCCTTTTTGGGGGGGGGGGGCTCCCCCCCCCCCCCC